GGGGCAGCAGTCCTCACATCTAAAGTCAGGGGTTCCATCTGGTCATCTCTGGACACAGACCCACTGAGCCTTTCCAAACTATAACCAAATTGCAAATATTAGTGATGATACAGACATTAGGAACATGCACAGAAGAATCTACCCTTGAAGCCACTGAATGCAATAATTACCATTACCACACCATCACCATCGTAACAGAAGAGCTGAGGCCTAGAGGCCATGTGACCTGCTGGGTCACTCAGCTGGTGGGAGCAGGAGAGCCCAGAACTGACCCCCTGCACCACATGCAGGGCTGCCCTTCTGCACACGCAGGAGCACCGGGTGCACCACTCAAGACAGAAGAGGAGCTCCCAGTCACCTAACACGAGACAAAGGACTCGGAGCTTCCTGCAGCCACCTGCGCATCGAAGTAAGGTAGCTTTGAAATGGGATGTAGACTTTTCTCTGACAAATGCCACCTTTGTCAGCAGTGCTTTCTGAACTCTCATCAAACAGGGAGGAAAAAGTGCTCCTTTACATCTGTGCAGCCCCATGCCTGCCGCTGAAACCAGCAAACAGCCATTGATGATTAAGTAGCTAGGGACTGAAGTTTTTTTCCCTTTTTACAATTACTGGCTGTAGCTTTTAGCTGTTTACCCGCCCATTGTTAACTGCGCTGTTTAGGCAATATGCTCTCTGACTCCCACTGGGTTCCTGTAGATAACATCTCCCTGGTTATCACCATGGTAATGGATGTTTGAGCTGTTTTTCAGGAATTGGAACCCCCTGTCCACTTCAGGACGGTTGAGACCACCAACCCATCAACTGGGTCCGCACAGATTTCAGATAAGCGACCTTTTGACGTCAAGAGGCTAAAAACTCCACCCTCGGGTCATGCCAACGCTGTTTTGTGAACATGCGTCCCTATGAAGAGGCATGAAGTCTGACTACGCCTGAGCAGATCATCAATTACCTCACCTTTCCTCACCTCCAATCATCTATCTCCACATTTCAGACCACCCTGCCCCTACCCCGTAAATATCCCTGAGTCCTTATTTTTGAGGAGGCGGATTTGAGACTCATTCTCCTGTTTCCTGACTTGGCTGCCATGTGATTAAACCCTCTCTCTCCGCAAACTCGTCGCCTCAGTGATGGGCTTTCTGGGCGGCGGGCAAAACAAACCTGCTTTGGTAACACCACAGCCTCACGCCCGCCACAGCCCCACAACGTGCTCTTTGGCATAGTCCTTCCCTTAGCTTCTCATCTCGTGCCTCCAGCAGCTCACATCACATTCTAAGCTGTGCAGGCAAAGGGGGTTGAACAAGCAAGTCTTTGGCCGAAGAACTCAAGTAGAGAATGAAAGCAGAGGAATTAGATTGGGAGAGGCCACGTGACCACCCTGCTATTTTTATTTTTTTAAAAAAATAACTTTATTGACACATAATTCACATACCATATAATTTACTCACTTAATGTGCACAATTCAATGGCTTTTAGTACATTCACAGAGTTGTGCACCCACCACCACAATCAATTTTAGAACATTCATTATCTCAAAAAGAACCCCTGTACCCACAAGACAGGGCTTGCCTGGTGGTCACCCTGCTGTTTCTAAATCACATTGTTGCTAAGAGGAGACACCTAGTAAGCCCCGAACCAAAGTACTGTGGGAGATCAAGATTTGGCCACCCTGAAATCTATCTCTTTACCTTGGTTGTTTTCTCTGAGGACATTTGACCTCCCCCACTAACTGCCTAAAGAACTTGACATAGTAACTCCTTCCTGGAACAGATCTACCATCAGAGCGCTAAAAAAAAAGGAAAAAAAAAGGTAAAAAAAGAAAAGCAACAAAAAACCCACCTTAGCAGAAGTTCTGTCTCTCTGGCCACATTCTCTGGATGGCCCTGCAAGGAGTTGCCAGACAAACATTTACATTTATAAGGGAAATCTCCATTTGTAAAGGTATCTCTCTCTCTGTATTGGGAAGAGGGGGGATGACCTCATTCTAGAAACTCATCAATGTGGAAGGTGAGGCCTTAAATCTGCATAATAACTTTACCCTTGTTTACAATGCTTTAGTGGTAATCTTCTGTAACTGACACTCCCCACCCCCAACATTCTCCTCTGTCTAGCTGAAGATGGTATTTTAAGACAAGAATTCCTGCTATTGTGTTGAGAAACGCAATGTCCCTGCTTTCTCCCATGTATACATGTTATTAAACTTGGTATTATTTTCTCCTACTAACTTGTCTTGTTAATTATTTGGCCAGCCATAAGAACCTTAAGGGAAAGGGCAGAGGGGGATTCTCCCTCTTCCCCCACAGTACCAAAAAGGCACATTTTAATTAGAATATTTTGAAATGGCAGCCTGTAGACAGTAAAGAAGGGTAGTGAGGTGAAGGGCAGGAAGACAGAAAGGTAACAGGAGAGAGGTGTGAAATGTGTGTTGCTTCTCTGTTCAGATGCCAAAGGGAATTTTTCTTCAAAAATAAGGAGAATATTTTGTTTATACATATACATACGCAGTCTTCCAGTTCAACATTGGTAAAATAAAAATTAAAGAAATAAAAAAAACCTTGATGAAGGGAGAGGACAGAGAGAGAATTTAGCACAAAGAAATCAAAACAGGTGAGAGTAATTTTGTATGTCTAGATAGCTACAGTGGAAATCTAATTATCTTTAAAAAAAATTAGCCTCTATTAGCTTGATAACTGTAATGCAGGAATGAAATTCAGGAATATGCAATGAGGAAGAGAAGTAGGAGGAGGGCCACCTGGGATCTCTGTGGACACAAATGAGATGAGATTTCAAATGCAAGAGTAAAATCTCTAAAACAAGTTTGCAACCTGGATGCTTTCTCCCCAGGCGTTCCGTGATAAATCATAAGCACAAAACAGGAATATATTTTCTGCAGGGGAAAAAAAATCCGATAACAGAATAAAAGGACACCATCTTGAGTTAATATATCTTTAAGGAATTATCTATTTTGGAAAATCTCATATAAAGCACTTTACCCAGAAGAAATAAAAAGGTAGAATGTACTAGGAATATATTTTTTAAATGAAATCTGTTATAACTCATGGGTTTTTAAATTTAACGTTAAAGGTGCTTCAAAAATAACTGGCCAATTACATATTATTATACTGCGGCTCCCCAAGGCATGGCACCTTCCCTGGCCTGCAGCCCCGTATCCCAGCAACGACACATGGCAGACACTCAACAAGCGTCTGTGGACTGATAAACCAGAAGCAGCCTCTCCGTCCCTCGAGCAGTACCTTGCGTGCTAAGCATGTGTCACGAGGCGAATCTGGCGCAGAGTGGAGACCACATGGCAGTAACCTGGATGCTACGTCTTGATGCCCAGGCCCCTAGCAAGAGTGAGCTGGGGCTGGATATGACTATCCATTACCTGCACCACCGTCTGTGCCAACTCTGCAGAAACCACGGTGGAGTCGGCTTCAAGGAACAGCAGAGTTGTTCGTACGTCTTCCACAGGCCCTAACGCTTCCGGTTGGGGTTGTGATCTTTCTGTGGCTACCATGTGGCCTGCAGCAAATCTATCCTTAAGCAACATAACCTTGGATGGAGTAGAATATTTCTAAGCCACTTTTCCTCACTCCCCTTGGATAAAAATGCTTATTACCCCAACATGATGGAAAGCAGAGAGAAGAGCTTTCATGCATTAAATATCCCAACAGCCTAGATGTGGACAGAAAACAGCAGCTCTCCTCCTTGGCACCATGAAGCCCATGGGTGTGTCAGCACATTGGCATCCCTCTTAGTGTAGGAAAGTTCAAGTTCAGCATGTAGCAGCACCAATCTCATATACACACACAGCAGATATGCAAGCTGGCCTTGGGTGTGTATATACTTGTATATGATTTCAGTGTTGACCATGCATGGGCCCGGTGCTACACACCAGAAGGTCAGCACTCATGGTCACATCTCATGAAGAAGCTAACTGGGAAGGTCAAGGGCTAGTAAAGCATAGAGCAGAGTGATGGAACGTTTGGAACTGGCTAAAGGTACTGACTTCACAACGCTGTGAATATACAAATGCAACTTTAAAATATACAAATGTTCACTTTAAAACGGCTAATTTTGTAATGTGAATTTCACCTCAATTAAAGAAAAGTAGTAGAGCAAATATTTAAATCCTGATCTACTGGACTCCGGAACACTTAAAATCTATGATTAAGGAAAAGGTGCGAAAATATAGAAAATAAAACCAGGGAGAAGCATGCTGGTAGAAAATAAATTGTGTAAACATGAAGACCAACATCAGTGCCATGCACTGTGCCAGGCACTGGGGTTCAATAAATGTACACGTCAAGGCCCAGTCCAGGAAGCACTCACAAGGCATACAATACTGTGTGAAGACCATCCAAGATGCTCTATCAGAGCTAAAATGAGGAAGGAGGAACAAATTCTGAAGGAAGGCTTCCCAGCCAGTGAGGAGTCTGCCAGGCAGAAAATTGGGAAACAGTGAAGAGTAACCTGCAAAAGTCAATGTTGACTGCGTGGTGGGGACTAGAAGAAAACACATCCACTCAATGTTCAGGGATGTTCACTGTGTGCCAGGCACTATCCTAGGCATTTGGGAGTTCAAATATTTAAAAGTCATGGTCCTTGCCCTCATGGAACTCACAACAAAAAGAAGATAGAACCAGACACATATCTTGGAAAGCTACTGTTTAAAGGTGGCTAAGAATTTGGATTTTGTTGCTGACGTTTTTAAGCAGGAAAGTGACATGAAAATTTCAGTAATTTAGAAAGAAGTGAAAACTTGATGGGAGAAGAGAATAAAAGGAGACCCATTAGACAGTCATCTATAGATTCAATGCAATCTCTCTCTATCAAAATCCAACGGGAGTTTTCACAGAAAGGAAAAAAAAAATCCTGAAATTTGTATGGAATCACAAAAGACCCCAAATAGCCAAAGCAATCGTGAGAAAGAAGAACTAGAGGCATCACATTTCTTTATTTCAAATTATATTACAAAGCTATAGTAATCAAAACAGTATGGCTCTTTCCGCCACCTTGGAGACTGTGGAGGCCTGCTGGAGACAGGACTTCTAAAACGACAAGTATGTCTGGAAGGCTATGGTCCAGGGCCACGTTTGCTGGCTATAAGCAGGGTCTCCAGAACCAGAGGGAGCACAGAGCCCTTCTTAAAATTGAAGGTGTTTATGCTCGAGATGAAACTGAATTCTATCTAGGCAAGAGATGTGCTTATGTGTACAAAGCAAAGAACAAAACAGTGACTCCTTGTGGCAAACCTAACAAAACCAGAGTAATCTGGGGAAAGGTAACTTGTGCTCATGGAAACAGTGGCATGGTTAGTGCCAAATTCTGAAGCAACTTCCTGCTAAGGCTATTGGACACAGAATCCATGTGATGCTGTACCCTTCAAGGATTTAAACTTATTGAAAAGTAAATAAATAAAAGTGAGGATTTGTAAGGGAAAAAAAAACAGTATGGTACTGGCATAAACACAGATACATGGACCAACAGAATAGAACAGGGAGCCCAGAAATAAACCCTTGCATATTCAACTAACATTCAACAAGGGATCCAAGAACACATAGTCTCTTCAATAAATGATGATGGGAAAAGTGGTGAAACATATGCAGAACAATGAAATTGGACCCCTATCTTATACCACTCACAAAAATTAACTCAAAATGGATCAAAGACTTAAACACAAGACTTGGTACCATAAAACTCCTAGCAGAAAACTTAGAGAAGAAGCTTGTCAACATTGGTCTTGGCAATGATTTTTTTTGGAAATGACACAAAAATCACAAACAACAAAAGCAAAAAGCAACAAAAGGGACTACATCAAACTAAAAAGCTTCTGCACAGCGCAAGAAACAATCAGTAAAATGAAAATGAAACCTACAGAATGGGAGAAAACATTTGCAAACTATATATCTGATAAGGGACTAATATCCAACATACACAAGGAACTCATACAAATCAATAACAAAAAACCGAAATAATTCAATTAAAAAACAGGAAGAGTAACTAGACAGACAGTTTTTCAAAGACGACATATAGATGGCCAACAGGTACATGAAAAGGTGTTCAACATCACTCATCATTAGGGAAATGCAAATCAAAACCACCATGAGATATCACCTCACACCTCTCAGAATGGCTATTCTCAAAAAGACACGAGATAAGCGTTAGTGAAAACGTGGAGAAAAGTGAACGCTGTACACTGTTGGTGGAAACGTAAATTGGTGCAGCCACTATGGAAAATAGTATAGAGGTTTCCCAAAAAATTAAAATAGAACTACCACACGTTCCAGCAGTCCCACTTCTATATATATGCAACGGAAATGAAAACAGGATCTTGAAGAGATGTCTGCATTCCCATGTTCATTGCAGCATTAGTCACAATAGCCTAATACAGAAACAACCTAAGTGCCCATCAGTGGATGAACGGATAGAAAAGATATACACACACACATGCGCACACACAATGGAATATTACTCAGCCATGAGAAAGAGGAAAGTTCTGCCATTTGTAATAACATGGATGTACCTTGGAGGCATTATGCTAAGTAAAATAAGTCAGACAGAGAAAGACAAATACCGTATGACCTCACTTATGTGTGGAATCTAAAAAAGCCAAAATCATAGAAACAGAGTAGAATCGTGGTTGCCAGAGTATGGGGAGTGGGGGAAGTGAGGAGATATGGGTCAAAGAATACAAACTTCCAATTACAAGATGAATTAGTTCTGGGGACGTAATGTACAGATTATAGTTAACAATACTGCATTACATATTTGAAAGTTGCCAAGACAGTAAATTTTAAATGTTCTCACCACAAAAAAGAAATGGTAATTACGTGACATGATGGAGGTGTTGGCTAAAGCTGTGGTAGTTATCATTTTGCAACACTCCTCATTTTGCAACATGTGAGTGTATCAAATCAACACACTGTACAACTTAAACTTACACAATGTTATGTCAATCATATCTCAATAAAGCTGAGAAAAAAAAGAAAATTTATGCAATGGTTGAGATGAGCACAGAGGCACGGATTCAGGTGACGGCAATGGGAACAGAGAAGCAAGGAACAGAAAGATCAGAGGTAGAATCAAGACTATGTATGGCTGGGGTTTTCTTTTGTGTGTGTGTGTGTGAGTGATGAAGAGCAGCCCTGAGCTAACATTCGATGCCAATCCTCCTCTCTTTGCTGAAGAAGACTGGCCCTGGGCTAACATCCGTGCCCATCTTCCACTACTTTATATGGGACACTGCCACAGCACGGCTTGACAAGTGGTGCGCCGGTGCGCACCTGGGATCCAAACCTGTGAACCCCGGGCTGCCGCAGCGGAGTGCGCTCACTTAACCGCTACACCACTGCGCAGGCCGCTGGTTGGGGTTTTCAAGTGGCTATGGGATTAAATGACATTAATTCACATAAAGGGCATAGAACAATGCCTAGTCTGTATTAAGTGCTCAATAAACATTAACTTTTGTTATTTTTATATTGAGCTTCAGTACTAAAATAATAGAGTGATTTTACTTTTTAATTTTCAGGACCCTTCCCCTTACCACAGTAGAGAAGAGAGGTGAAAAGAATCCAAATCAGAGGGGCTGAGTGACAAGAACAAGGCCTGTCTTTTATTCTGTTAATGCAAAAATACTTTCAAAATATGTAGTGAATAAATAAATGAATAAAGGAACAAACGAGCAAGTAAATACAGAACAGCAATGACCTCCGACACCCAACCTCTGAAAAACCAGGAAATGGTTCATCAGTTGAGCTACAAAACAACTTGAGAAAGATCCACTTTCAAGGAAGAACACATAGGAAGACATGGTTGATTCACAATAGCCTAAGAAGCAGAATCAGAGAACTAAAGTTTACCAAGGCAAATTCACTGTACTAAGAAAAACCAAAACATTTTATCTCCCTGTTATCCCATAACCATTTTTCTCCAGCCTGACAACTCTGTAACTTGAATCCAAGTCCTTATGCTGCTGCTTTATTTTCCAAGTGTCTTTCTGTAGCTGCACAGGCTTTCTGCCAGGATTCCTGCAATGTGGGGCATGAAGGACTCCCGCTTGTCAACCGGAAACCAAGGCAGGAAAACTGTCCATTTCCCTGTGCTTCGTCCCCACTCACAGCCAGGCAGCCTTCCTCCTCCCACATTGGTCTCTTCAGATTAGAAACTCCCCAAAAAGGACTGGTAAGAAAGAGATACATCCTGGCCAATTAAGAAATACCCCTCTTGGCTATTATTATATATTTCCTGTCCGATCTCCCTATACGCTAGAATATAGTGTTTCTGCTATAATACAATTATATATGCATTACTGAAAAATCTCATATTTTGCAAATTCAATACTAAAAATAACCAAGTTTTTGGGTAAAACTGGTTTAGGGCATTCCATTCAAAACCTATGGAACTTCAAAACACAATCAAAAATAATAATTAACCACCTGGAGAGTTAATCTGGCCACCTAGGCAGGTGGTTCAGTATAGCTAGTGGCTAATACAGTAGATATTAAAAATGCATAAAAACAATAGGGGAAGTGCGGTAATGCTTTAATTACAGTAAGACTGGCAGGCACTGAGGGCACAGGAAGAATCACGTGAGGCTGTGGCTGCACCCGTCTGGAGAGGGGCCCATGCCAGGAGATCACTGAGACTTCAGACATACAGAGTCACAGCAGTGGGGCTAAGAACTTTTTCCTGTCCTGTTCAAGTTCAAAATTCTACTCCTAGTACCCTTGCTCTCTTTGCCTAGGAAAATTTTATAAGCCAACATAACTTTGGCTTTATACAGACATCCTGCCCCTTTTGACCAATCACGTATGAACTAACATGCATCACAGAACAGAGCTGTGAGTGTCCTCACACTGTCCTCAAAGTAACTGGTCTGAGTGTCCTTAGGGAGGATGCCTGCTCATTCATGAGCTGATGCAGGAGAAACCAAGGGTGAAGGCCTCCCAAGAGAGGGCTTTTTCCATCCCATAACCAGTTCTATTACCTATTAAAGAAATAATTCCCAGAGAAAGATGTGACCACAGAATTAAACCAACAGAGAAGTGCAAATACTTACATATAATATGTTGGATAGAGTCCTTCAAAATACCAGCAATGTTTTTTGGCCTCTGTACACTGGAAATAGAAGGAAGAAAAACCTTTGTCAGTGGTAAGTAATGTGCATACTGTTGAGAAGATCTCAAAAAAAGAAACAAGGAGGGATGAGTGGATACAGCTTCAAGCATGAAAAGCAGGGGATTCAAGAGAGACAATGAATTAGAAAGAGATCCACTCCCACCATGACTTTCTACTTCTTTACATTTTTTAAAAGGGAGGAAAACATCTATTTCCCTATTATTTTCCTAGCCTTTCCTATCTCTAAATACACTGAGCACGACCAATTCATTAGAAAGGTAAATTAAAGACAATCCATTTTTTAAAAGTTACAGAAAGAATGACAGAAATAAAGTATTATAAAGATTACATTTTCCTCCAATTTTTGTTTTGGAAAGACATTTCCCATAGTTTTAACACTCCTAGATATTTATATTTCAGAATATTCTAAAAGCCATATTCAAGTCATTGATCCCCCAGTGGGGACCTACGTCGTCTGCCGGAGTCCCTGAGTCAGGATTCACTCCCCAGCATCAGTGGCGCTCTCTGAGAAAGAAGGAGGAGGGGGACAAGGAAAGACAATAGGAGCCTCCTCCGTGCTTTCCAACGAAGTCCAACACTTGACACACTGGAGGCAGGGCAGAGCAGGTGCACTGCCACACTCGTGGCTTTACTACGTCACACACCCCCAACAGGTGGGAGGAAGCCAATGGCACCAGCTGCTGTGTGAGAGCCCTAGGCACAAATGCTCTGATGTATCTGAACAAGACTCCTCTAAAATCATTCTACTTGTGCCGTTATTTCTTTTTTAAATCACAACTTTCTACCTCCATGATCTAGTTCATGGCCTCTGTGAAAATAACACCTTCACAATATTATAGTGCAAAGCCACCAGCAGCCAGAACACCAGGAAAGGCACCATGACAACAACCATGTCTTTGTCAAGGCAGGAGCTAACTGTCTTGCCCCCTCTCCCCCCACCCTCCTCCCATGGGGCGGTAGGCAGGCCAGCTCCCTGGGGCTTGGCCAGGACTGCTCCCTCCTCCGCCTTTCCTAGCCTTAGCAGGTAGATGGTGACACCCTCCTGCCACAGTCTGCCTGACAGCTGTGAGCAAGTTCAGAAACAGACCCCAAATCTATAGCAAAATGCCAAAGGAGAGGTGAGTGCAAATGTTATGTGTTATGCTGGCTAAATCAGACAGGTTATGAAAAGAGCGTGAAACAACACTGGTTTTTTAAAAATGTGATTTAAGATACTCAGAAGCACACTCAGGCAGCCTGAAATGACCAGTTTTATTAATGGAAAATGAGTTTAATTTAGACTATGTTAGCTCCTGTCCAGTTCAAGAAATGAGCCAAAGAAATCCATTTATTTTGGCAAGGAAGGGCAATTTCAGGTCTCTGCTGTAAATTACAATTCCTTTCACTAGAGTCTTCTATGATAAACTGAGAAACCAGGTCTTTCTTCGCGGTGGCATTTTAAACGTTTCTTCTTTATTCCTCATAACCACCAGAAACAGGTGCACTTTCTTGGAACTTGACACCAAGCTCCACACAATCAAGAAACAGCCTCCTCTGATGTGGCCCTGAAGCTCAGGGAACACCAGAACTCAAGGCTGAAACCCCTTCCCCTCCTGCTGCCTTGGCCCCTCCTATGAGCATCTCCACCAAGGCGCAGTCCCACAGACCCAGGAGTGAGGGCCAGTGAGGCCTGAGCGGTGCAGCAGATGCAGACTGCTACCCCGCCCACAGTCGCCTACTGTGGGACAGCCCGTTATCTAAAGAGTTCCCTAACCTGAAGCACCACTCGTTTGAGATCCCAGTACCCCATCTCCTAACTATTAAGGTAATAACAAAAATAATATTATGTATTGCCTATGAAGATTGTTTCTTGGTAATTAGGAATACATTTTATAGGTTAAAAAACTGGGGCCCCTAATGGGTCTCTTATTCCAAGCCACAAAGTTTCTTTATGGCAGCAAAATTAATAACTATGGGCATTATTTCTCCTAGACTAATCAATATTACCCTGAGTAACCTACTTTGCCCACCACCAACTCCCTCGTATTGTCCTATGACTATAGGATGGCAGAAGAGAACCAGACTGAGCCATCAAGAACCTGCTCATGGGTCTGCCATTAACAGACTTTGGGGAAAGCAGCTCTCCCAGCCTCGGCCTCCTCAATGCTCAGCTGCCTGCGTGGTGGGTGGGTGTGAACATATACAGGTCTGTGTATGTAAATCTATGGGAGATGAGCTTCAGAGCTACAATAGGTTACATAAAAGCACTGAATCGTCACATAAAGCACAACTCCCCAGGCACTCTCATACATGGCTGTTGGGAAGGAAATTCAGCCATTTCTGATAAACTACTAATGCGTTTCTCTTTAATCACTGATTCTCTCTCTACAAATATGGAACACCATATGCACAATGTTATTTATCGTGGCATTATTTCTAATAGCAAAATCCTGGAAACAACGTAAATGCCCACTCATAGCAAGCTGGTTAAAGAAACAATAGTGCAGCCACACAGTTCAGTACTAAGCAGCCAGCAAGAATGAGGTCTCTCAGGACCAGTATGAAATGATTTCCCAGATGCAGTGTTAACTGAAAAAGCGATATGCAAAAGGGTGTGTCTAGTATGCTACTTTTTATGGAAAAGGAAAATTGTACGTTTGGTTAACTTTTTACAAAAAGAATCACAGGAAAAACTAATGAAAATGTTTACCCTATCGGGGATGGGTGGGGGTAGCAGAGACAGGGACAAGAATGAGGTTTCTCTGAGTATATTTTTTATATAGTTCAACTTATGAATCCTGTAAACGTTTTTTATATTCAAAAAAATAAAGTTAAGTCAAAAAGGAATTTTAAAAAATCCACTCTTCTCAGATTGAAAATATTTACTAAAGACTACCATGGCATTATTGCACATATCACTCTTTGCCTGGAGCAACCAAACAGAGCAGATAGCTGGGAAGTCAGTACTCACAAGAAATTTATCAAGATAACACACTCTGCTCTTGGTACCCCTCCTGGTGCCCTCAGATGTCAAGGGCACTATTTCCATCCCACTCTTCCTTTGACCTCCCCCAAATTTCTTTCAGGCTTTTGTTGCTCAGATATTCAATAATGTCACTAATGCCCACTTGCTGGTTACTCTTGCTCACAGTTATTGCTAATAACTTTTTACCATTTTTAATCTAAGCTATGCAAATAAGACCTATTTTGAAAAATATTAACCCCAGTTTGTTCCTTTATAAAAGATTCTCTTAATCAAATGTTATGGCCATATTTCCTGAAACAGAAGAGAAAATACTCTTTAAACTGAGCTACCTAGGATTAAAACAGAGTTTCATTTTATTGTTACTGCAATTATTTTAAGCTCTTGAAATTTGCTAATATCCAGGCAACTTCTTCACTATTTTTGGTAGCTGGACTTTTACAATACTTTTCTTGTAAAGAATATCAACACTGTAACAATTCACATATATGACTAACTCACTAAAGCTAATATGTGGTATTATTCCATTTTACAGCTGGATAGCATGAAGAACACAGTCATATGTTTCATTAATCAACTGAAAACACTGAATGAGGACTGAGAAGTCCTGATAATTTTTGTTGTTGAGTCTTTCTTTCAATAAATGCTTGTAAATTGAATACCAGGTGTCAAAGGCAGCTGGCACACTGATCCGTGAGGCCCTGTGGCAAGAATGGAGATTAGGTTCCACAGGGCAGGACATGGAGAGTGAGATTCCTGCTGGAAACCACCCAGGGTTGAGAGCCAAATACTGCCAAGTGAAAGTCTACAAAGAAAGCCATAATTTGCCTATTAATTTCAATCTCCAAATCTAGCATAAGCACCAGGATTCAGGGCAGGGCTAGACAGCTGGAGCTCTGGACATGTGGTCAAAATGGGAGTTTGTGAAGGATGACTAAAGGGGCCTTCCAGAGCACTCCCAAACACTGGTGGGCCCTCAGAGGTGGCCTCATGAGCAAGCATATGGGTGGTATGGGGACAGTCAGAAAGAAGGCATTGTGCTACATTCCACTGGAATAAGCACCCAAATCGAGGGGCAAGGAGGGATCTGTCCTACAGAGAAAGGACGAATCAAAACCTACAGAACTGGGTTCTAATCTTGACTGCTACTTACCAGCCATGTTGCCAGTCTGGATCTCAGCTTCCTTATTTCTAAAATAGCATAGATTCTCTTCCTTGCTGGATTTATAAGATGGCTGTATGAAGTAACTGAGATTACTGTAATGTATCAAAATGCCTGGCCGGATTGGGGTATAGTTCACTGAATCTCATAGCCAGCCAGCAACTCTACCCCCACAGGTGTATCTGGAAGCAAGCTGTCTTAATTCTCGGGAACAGATGACTTCTGGCTCACTTCACTGTGATCATCTACCATCTAAGCAGAAGCAATGCCTCTAAACCTCTTGAGAACAAAGATTCTAAGTACACAATACCTTACATTTTTGTGTGGTATTTAGTTTTCTAAAATTTCCCTAAACCTCTCCAAAAAAGTTTAAGAACTATATAAACTAAGAAAAAAAATCAATTTCAGGGTTATATCCTCCCCTAAAAATAGGTCTACCCATTCTGCAAAGATACGATCATGATTTCTTAAGGATTAACCATCTACTGAAACAGAAAATATATATGTTAGGAGAGCTCAGGTCAGCTGCTTTGTGTTACCAACTGGGTATCCTCAATAGTGAGGGTGCTGTACCAGGTTCTGGGCAAAAAGCAGGCCCTCAATGAGCTCATAATGTAATATTCCTTCCTAGTGTATAATGGAAGGAATAATAAGCATAACCATCTATTTCTTGAAGAGATCATAGAGAGTAGCAACATACAATTTATAAACTATTAACAAAGCAGAATATGTGAGATTGTGAGAAAATGTCTACTGTCAGGAGCAATTCAATTGAGGGTAATCCAAGATTTAAACTGGAGATGCTTATGAGACATCTGTGCTCAGGGAAGAATCCCGGTGATCTATTATTCATGG